GGGTTGCCCAAGCCACCCTGGGCTGCCACCTCCTCAGCTTCCCCGTAAGGGAGAAAGAACTCTCTACTGTACTGTTCTGACTTTCTGTACCACAGGCCACAGAGTCAGCCTCCGGAGGGATTATTTTTATCTCCAACACATATATATAAAGAAACATGCTCAGGAGGTGAAGGACATGCCCAAGTGGCAGGGCTGGGGTTTGAATCCCATCCAAACAGAAGACAGTGACAGCCGCCTCTGAGAGCTGCTGGAGGGGTCACAGGGCGCTGCATAGGAAGCCCGTGACCTGGGCCAGTCTGGAGGTGCCTGGTCGGTGGCCTGGCATCACTGTCGCTCCAGACCCCCAGCGGGTGGCTGAGGCCGAGCCACCCCAAGGCCCATGTCTGACCCAGGCCACCGCCCCCTGGGCCGACAGTATCCGGACGGGGCAGACCCTTCTGGACACACAGGAATCCAGCCAGTCCCTCCTCCCCAGCATGAAAGGCCAGCCACTCCTGCAGAAAAGAACTCAGGTTTATTTGCGGTAGAAACCGTGGTCTGAAAAAAAACCTATTGGCAAATGTACAGTTTGCGTTCTGTCTGGGGTCACCACCAGCTGCGGGACCCCCAGATCCCTGACCCGCATGCGTCGGGCTCCTAAGTGTTCACAGCTAATCTCAGGCCCCAGGTCCGAAGCCCCGCCAGAGGGCATCCCATCTCCTGCTGCAACCACCCGCGTCCCAGCCTGTGCCCGGCCCTCCTCCCCTGCTGCTTCCTGCAGTGCAAAAACTAACCCAACCAAGACAAGCTCCCTAACACACAAAAACAAAGCAAAACAGTCACAAGAACCAGGGCTCTAAATTAGGTTTTCTCAGTGCCCTTCGTTATCACGACGCCTTGCTCCATGATGGCCTCAAACATACATTATTTTCTTGCTGTTATAAAATCTCTTCCTTATTATCCACAGATATATAATGGGAGTTTTGGAGGAAATAACTACCAACCTTTTTTTCCCTTAAAAAGCAAACAAGCCAAACCCAAACCAAAACGAAACAAAACAAAACCCTAACAACATCAATAACAGAAACCAAAACTCTTCCGACAACCGTAAACAAGAAAGGCGCTGGCCCCGCTGCTTTTCTCCCCTCCCATCCTGGGCTCACAGCTGGGCCAGCTGCGCCGAGGTCACGTGCAAAGTGCTGGGTGCACCCTGACAAGGATTTGGGTCTGCTCTCTCCGTGGAAAATCCTTCCTTCCCCCGCTTTGCCCACTGCCCCCAAATACAATCCTGTGACCCTCATTTCCCAAGCCTTTGCTGGCTGCCTCGTCTCTCCTGCCTGCACACGCCCTCCCTGACCCCTCCCCGTCTCCTCCGCACGCCAGGATGCCGCTGTGTTGAGCTGAGGCTGGAGATCACAAGGCTGACCTCCGAGGAACCCCAGGGTGCAGTGTGGCCACCAGCGCCCACCCCGGCAGGGGCCAGCCTTGGCAACGCCCGACCTCGTGCAGCTGACCGAAGGGAAAGGGGGACCCACGAAGCCCACGCTGCACCCGTAGCTTTGGCACGGAACTCAGAGGGGACAGCGTCACTGGGTCTCAGGCGACATCCGGGCGGAGAAAAGAGGGTCCGGCCAAGCCAGCCAGAGGTCAAGGGCCAGGAGGAGTGCGGAGGGCGAGCTCGGGGGTGGAGCTTCCCCAAGAGAACCGACTTCGGGCTGTGGCCGCAGGCCCTGTTTCGTGGGCTGCAAGAGCCCTTGGAAGGAAGACTTGCCAAGAGCTAGAACCGACATCTGTGCAAAGGCTGGGAAGACCCTCAGGGACCCCCCTGCAGGACACGGGACACCCAGAGGGCCTGACTGCTTGGGGGCGGTGGCAGGGGGCCTCCTTCTGGAGAGGAAAGTGAACAGCAGAGACCAGGCCAGCGGAAAACCTTGTCTGCTTCCCGCCCGCGGCAGGGCTGGCAAACGATGTATCCACCTGGCAGCAGGACAGGACAGACACACACCAAGGGCTCAGGGCAAAGGACAGTACCACTGACTGGGGAGCGGGGTCGGCAGCTTCAAGGTTCCTAAGGCTCCCTCCCGAGAGAGCGGCCACCCCGGGGTCTCTGCACACCCCTGGTGCGGAGGGACAGCAGGAGCCCGGGGGGCCGCACAGGCCCTGGCGATGCTCCCTCCCTCTGTCCCCAAGCACAGCAGCCTGGCTCTGGGCCCTTCCGTCTCCCCCTGGGGGCAGCAGGGCGGAGGGTCCAGAGGCTGAGCGGAAGAGACCAAGGGGAAGGTGCCCAGCCCTCCCTGGGACAGCATATGCCATTCAAACCTAAGCTTCTGCAGGCCATCTCGACAGGACAAGGGCAAGGTGAGCTCTGGCCTCAGCTGTCACCCAGAGCCTGGCTCGGGACGCCACAGGCGCTCCCTCTACTCGGCACTCTGGTGGTGGCAGCCAAGCAGGGCTGGCCCAGATTTCCTGTATGTACAAGTGGCGTACCCAGGACAGGCCACCAAGGGCAGGCTGATGGTGGGACGGATCACATGTAGGGTTCTGAACACCCTCCCCATCCCCATGGGCTGTTGAAGACTGGAAGGTTGGCGGGCATTTCCCCTTCTGAGTCTCAGAGCTGGAGACAGGCTTCAGCACCGGAGCGACTCTTCCAAGAAAATCCGCGAGTCCTGTCCGCGTTCTTGCTGTCACTGGATGCCCTCTTCCTCTACGTACGTTGAAGGAAACCAGCCAATCTGAGAAAGATGAGAGACTCACGTTAAGAGTGTGTGAAGGGTGAGGGCAAGTGGAGGTTTGTGGAGGTGGGCGATTCTTTAAGAGGCTGGCATCCTAAGGCAGGCCCACCCCCAAGAGAGGCCCTGGAGAAGAGGCAGAGAGCCTAGCGGAGCCGAGGTCCAGGAGCAGGGGTGACCCTGAAATACACCAGCCCAGAGCAGTTCAAGGCGACCTGCCCGCCAGCTAACTGCCCGCCAGCAAAAAATTAAATCCTCTCTGGAGGAAGATAACATCATCCGGAGCCTCTACGGTGTTTTATACGCAAGCTCGGCATTGAATCAGGAACAAGTGACAGAAACGAAGAGAAAATGCAGACAGCAGAAACCAATCTACAGGTCATCCAGATATCGGGGTCATCCATCAGGAAACGTAAGTAACTCTAACCTGTCTGTTTCAGAAAACTGATGAAAAAGCAGAAAATTTTCCCAGAGAACTGAAATCAGAAATCAAATGGAAACCCTAGAACTGAAAAATAGAATGACTGAAGTTAAGAGCAGATTAGGCAAAGCAGAACAGAAGACTAATAAACTGGAAGATAAGTCAATAAAAAGTAATGAGACGGAAAACCAGAGAAAATGGACGAAACACACATAAAACGGTAAAAATATTACGTGGGCCATGGTGAACAAGATCTACCATCCATGGGAACAGATCCCCAGGAGAAAAGAGAGAAAATGGAGCAGATACACTATCTGAAGAAATTTCCAAAACTGATGTAGGACATCAAACCACACATTCAAAAATATCTCTGCAAATCTCAAACAGAATGAATACAGAGAAAACCATACATAGGCACAGTATAGTAAAACTGATGAAAAACAAAGACTTTTTTCACATGGAGCCCAGTGGGGAGTAGTGCAGATATCCTCCAAAGGAATCACCATAAGAATGCTGATGGACTTTTTCTACAGAAATGATGGAAGCCTGGTGACAGTGGAATGACATCCTCGAAGTGCTGAAATAAAAGATCTGCCAGCCTAGCCTTCTAAACCCAGTAAACAAATACCCTTCAAAAATGAACTCAGTAAAATGGCTCACAAAAAGGAAGCAGGTCTCATTGGAGAGATGACTGATTGCTGGGGGAGAATGACCAAGCGGAGAAGAGAAAGCTTTTCCTTACAGTAGAAAGCCCACTAATAAGTGTATAAAAAAAGATAGAAAATCACTTTTCTCCATCATGATAGAAATAACTGAATAGGCAAAATTCATCAATGAATGATAAAACTAGTAGGTGAAAGTTTGATGAGGAACAGCCTGTTTATCTGATTTCAAAGTATTACCCTGCACATTACTTATCAATTACAGTAAATTCAGAGTGGAGAAACTTGGCAGACACCACCTTAACCAAGTGATCAAAGTTAATGTCACAATAATGGGGCAAACCGCCATCATAAACTTCTTGAAAGGACCCTACGGCCACTGAAAAAGAGAAAACATCCCCATGGTGGTGTTCCCACCAACAAATACAACCTCAGACTAATCATGAAGAAATATCAAAAAAAAAAACTAAATTGAGGGATAGTCTACAAAAATAACTAGAGAAGACACTATTGGGACAGTTGTGAAATCTGAATATGGACTGGGGAGTAGATAATTATAGCAAAGGGAAATGTCCTTGATCTTAAGAAATACACACTGCAGTTCTTTAAGGGTAAAGCGCTATGATTTCTTCAACTGATTTCCAAATGGTTTAGCGAAAAATAAGTGTGTACACACACACATACACTTACAGAGAGAGAGAGAGAGAGAGAGAGAGAGAGAGAGAGAGAGAGAGAATGCAAAAGAGAAACCAAATGAACAAACCATTCTTAATTGGTAAATTTGGGCATATGGGAGTTTTTGTAGGACTGCAACTTTTCTTTAAATTTGAAATTATATCAAAATAAATTACAAATATTTTATAATGAAAACATTTAAAAAAGAAAGTGAAAGAAAGATGTGTTCAGATCCAACAAAAACTGAGAATCTATAAGTAGCAGACTTGCACTAAAAATCATACTGAGAGGGAACTTCAAGCACCAGGAATGTGGTTTTGATTGTGTGTATAACAATGCAGAAAGAAATGAGGAACCCTGGGAAAGGTAAAGAGGTAAGCCTAAATGAAAATTAACTGCTTGAAACAAAAATAATGTCTTATGGGGTTAAAAAATGTCAAATTAAGAAACATGACAACACCTGCCCAAAAGTTGGAAGGAAAATGAATACAGTCAAAGGGCGTCAGGTCCTTGCATTGTCTGGTAAGTAGTGAAAGTACTAATTTAAGGTGGTCTGTCAGAAATCAAAGTGTACATTGAACCTCTAAGGTAACCACTTAAGTAACAGGAAAAGAATGTGTAACTAACAAACTAAGCAAGGGGGGTGAGAAGTGGAATAGAAAAATTGATTAATCCAAAAGTTGGAAAGAAAGGACAACAAAGAAGGAATAGATGTGAAAAAGAGAAAATAAACAGATGATGCATTTAAATCTAAATATCTCAGTAATTACATTAAATGTAAATGGACTACCTATACTAATCAAAAGGTCAAGACTGTCAGATCAGACTGGCTTGTAAAAGTCCATTTATAGTAAGATTTTTATCACCTAACTATCTTAAATATAAGAATACAGAAAAGCTGAAAGTAATACAAGAAAGAAGAAGGTATGCCACGCAAAACACTAATCCCCTCAAAAAGCTGGTGTCTCTCAAACAGCAGGAAAAGCAGACTTCACAGCAAGAAGAACTGCGACATTTCATAACAGGGTTAAAGTATCAACAACAGGAATATCTAGCAACACTCTAAACCAGTGGTTCTAAAACTGAACTCTGCATCGAAATCACCTGGGAAACTGGCTGACATCATGACTGGGGTGAGGGCCCAGCTCCAGGCGCCTCTTGGCACTTTTGAGAGCTAGCAGTCCCAGCCCTCTAGGTCGACTGCCTGGGACTCAGAGGCCTCACACTTGTGAAGGGCTGTCAGATGGAAAAAGGATCAGACCCAGGGGCCTCCAAGGTAGAGGCAGACCAGTTCCTTCCACCTGGCAACGGAATGGTAAGTGACGGGAGCCAAGTCTGTGGGCAGCTGCAGCCCCTGCAAAAACTGGACGTTTCCTAATTGGTGCTTTGTGGAGCCCAGGCACCCTGTCGGGTGACTGCCAATGGAACTAGTCAAAGCCAGGGGGTCCAGACAGGGTACCAGGATAAGGAGCCGTGGGGTTTCAGAATCTCAGGCTGGCTGGGGACACTGTGTGTCCCTTCCCATCTCACCAAGGTGTAAATGGGGTCTTATGGAACGGCAGAAGCCCCGTGAGGACATCCCGGCCCTACTCTCAGTCCTGCAGCCTCCCGGCCTGCAAAGAGAGCTGGGCACGTGCAAGGGACTTAAAGACCGCACCCAACATCTGTCCCCTGCCGTTTCCACAACGGACCGTAGAATAGGACCAAGCACATATACAGCGTCAGACAGGCCAGGGTCCAGATCCGAGCCAGGAAGTCGCTTCCTCACTGTGACCTTGGCTCACGGAACCTGGGGACACCCAACCTCCCGGGCGCAGTCAGAGGGCACAGGGTCGGGGCAAGGTGGTGCGGCGGTGCCAGCCTGCCGGAGCCCCACCTTCCCGAGCACCGCAGGGAGGCGGGGCCCCCGTGGGGCCCAGGACCCGGGGCCGGTCCCACTCACCCGGCCGTTGGTCTCGCCCTTCCACCAGCCCTGGTCCCCACCGATGCGGCTGTAGATCTTCACCACGTCGCCTTCTCGCAGCGAGAGCTCCCGCAGGTCCCGGGCAGCAAAGTTGTACCTGGCCACGGCCGTGCCGATGACGCGGGGCGCAAACACTGCTGGGGGGAGACGGGCGGCGTCACAACAGCTGCCGGGTGGGGCCGCCAGGGCTGAGGGTCCTTTGGGCCGAGCTGGGTCTCTCCCCCGGGGCCCAGCCCTGTGCCCACAGAGGAGCCCATGGAGCAGAAAGGTTCTGGCGGGACAGACCAGGCTCCAATCCCAGGGCCCCTCGCTCCTCTGTGGGCGCCCCGACCTGCGGGCACGTGGCCCATCCGAGCTCCACCGTGATTAAGTCAGAGCCTCACCGCCCCACCGGGGGCCGTCACGGGCGGCAAGCGTGCCCGCGGGGATACGAACGGGTGTCGGTGCTCTGTCACAGCTCCCTCGGGGCCTTCCCCTGTGTGCCCAGGGCCTGGGCATCACATGGCCAGTGGACAGCTGAGTGACCGCTGCCCAGCTCCCAGCCTGCACTCTGACAAAGTGCCTGGAATTGGACCCCAGGGCACTGCTTCCCGACTTCCCTCGTGTCCCCAACTCCAGAGCCCAAACCAAACTGGAAAGCCGGTTGGATCAGCTTGGCCCGGGACCCAGGAGTCCTGATGGACAGATGACAATGGCCCGTGACGGGAGGGGCAGCACATGCGGCTGCTGGGGAGGGCTCTGCCTCTGGCAGTAGAGGGCCGTGCGGTCAAGGCCAGTCGAGACCTGTCCCCCTGCACCCAAGCCCCACAAGTCCTCCTTAGTGTCGCCGAGTGGGGCCTGCCCCGGGGTCTGCTCCCACCTTCACCCCGAGGGGGGTCGCCCAGCTGTTTGCTGCTGCCAGATGCAAAGCTCCCGGGGAGCAACGGGGCACAGTGGCTGATGAGCTGGAGAGGGGTCATGGGGGTGAGCATGGCAGGGGTGAGGGCAGCACCAAGCTGGACTGTGTCTGCAGGAGCCGCGGCAGCCCCGCCCCCCGCGCCCCCGCCGCTCACCTCTGCACACACCCGCCCCGCCCCACCCAGGCTGCGGCTCCCCTCTGCACACACCCGCCCCGCCCCGCCCAGGCTGCGGGCAGCTGCGGACACTTTCAGGCCGGGGCCGTGGCCCGCCAGGCAGCTGGCGGCAGGCCGGGGCCCCCCACGCCCCGAGCAGCAGCGGTACCTGGCCAGAAGGGCACGGAGGAGCCCTGAGAAGCAAGGCTGAAGCCCTGAGGACTGAGAAAAGAAAAGTTGTAGGAAGCGCAGGAAGCTGCAAAGAGGCGAGAGAGACTGTTGAAAGGGGGACCGGGGAGCATCCACACGCCGTCCTAGGCGCGGGCGGTCACAGGCGGCGGGGAGGGGGCCCAGGCCCCGCCCAGGGCACCAGGAGGGCAGCGGGACCCACCCGGGCTCTGGGTGCGGCTGCCCTCGCTCCACCTCCTGCACCAGTTTCCCGGGCCACCTCCTCCCAGTGGGCGGGCTCACGCGAGGATACAGGAAACTATTCGTGCAGATCACAGCCCCTCGCCCGGCACACAGTAGGTGCTCACTAAAGGCCCGTCGTTCCTCTCCTGGCCTGCTCTGCCCCGGTGGGACCCGAGGTCCTGCGGGCCCCTGCAGCTGGAGGAAGTGGGGTGGCTGGCTCCGAGACAGAGCCCTGGGCCGGATGCCAAACACTCTGGGCCCAGCCTGCCCCTCCTCCAGGTGGTCCCCCATCTGCGCTATGGAGCCCCATCTGCAAACAGAGGTACTGGCTCTGGCTCCCTCATAGCTGGGGTCCCTGGGCGGGGCGGGGGGTGGATGCTGGGGCACAGGGACGGATTTGAGGACAGAAGGGACCTGCCCTGTTCCCTCCCCACTCTGACCTCCAGGCAGAGAGGTATTGAAACTCGAAGCAGCAGTTCATAGCTGGCACTCCCCACCTGTCACATGGGGCCGCCCTGGCACCCTGGCTCAGGAGGGTGCTGGTGAAGGGCTGGGGGGCCTGGGCCACTGCTCCCCGGGGTGGGAATAGGGAAGGGGCTCCTGGCCGAGGTCAGTGCAGCCCACCGGAAGCCTTCTGCGCACGGGCATTACCTGGGGACCGGCTGGAGGCCCTAGAGGCCACGCGTTCCCGTGACTTGTAGGGGTACTTGAGCGTGGTGTCCAGCTGCTTGAAGCTCTCCTTGAGCGAGTGGCACTGGTAGTACTCTACCAGCTCCTGCAAGACGCACACACTCACTGCTACCTCCGCCTCCAGGCAGTCCTCCCAGACGCCCTGCCCTCCCTCTCCCACCTCCCCAGGTTCTCCTTGACCCCCGAAAACACCCCTCCTCCTCGCCGCCCCTCCTAGCACCCGAAGTGGGGGCAGGGTGGTCAGAATCGCAAACTTTTGATCCTGTAATTTCTCTCCCAGAAGTTTCTAAGGGAAGAGTCAGGGAAGAAGGCAGGGACTGATGGGCACAAGTGCTCCCTGCAACACTCTTCATAATGGAGAAAAACTCGAAACGCCCACACGTCCAACACCAGGGAAGTGCCTCGAGAAAAATCCCAGCATATCCACGTGACCGAATGCCGCGCGGCTACAGTGGGGCAGGAGGAGGGTGGTGCCCCTGGTGAGCATCCATTGTGTTGAGAGGCAAACTAGGAGTTGGGTCCAGTGTGGCCAGGGGCTTTGTTTGAAAAAGGAACCTAGAAACCACACCTAGGCTCTGCTTAGAAGCGGTGGGGGCTCGCCCTGAGACGAGAACAGCAGGCTTGGGGGCAGATTGTGGATACTCTCTGTTTTACTGGGTGTGTTTCTGCGGCCGCAGTGGGCAGTCTAAGAGCTCAAGTGCTCCAGTTAGATGTTCTCCATGCACGGAACACATGTAATTTAGCAAAGAGACACCAGGTCCAGCTTTAAAATCATTTTAAGGACTATGCCTCTCGTGGCTTTCTGGCTGGGCTGGGACAGCTGGGGCTATGGGCGTTAGAAGCGAGTGGGCTGCGTGATGCTGGTGGCCCTACTGTCCACCATGGGGTTTGGGGGACAGAAGCCTGACTCGGGGGCCTCCCTGTCCCAAGGTGCCCTACAATCCAGTTTCCCTGGATCTCTCCCACACTGGGAAGACCCTCCTCCCCGGGGAGGGGGGGACCCCTGCTGGGCTCTCCCCCTCTGCAAGCCCGGCCCGCAGGAGTGGGTGCAGGGGGCCCCTCCTCCTCGGTGTGGCTGCGGTGGGGGACCTGGGCCCTCCCCCCCCCCCCCGGG